TCTTCAGCGTGCTCAACTACGAGCGCGCGCGGTGCCCCGGCCTCCTGGGCGCCTCTGTGCTCGGCATGGATGACATCTACCGGGCCTGGCGGGCCTTCGCGCTGCGCCTGCGGGCCCGTGACCCAGTGCCCCCGCTCTACTTTGTCAAGGTGGGTCCCCGCCCTGTGCTGCACCAGCCGAGCGCCCTGGCCTCGGCGGGGTCAGTCACGTGGTGGGACCTGCTGGGTGTGGGGACAGCCCCGAGCCCTGGCCCTCGCCCATGTGCTTGGCTGAGGGTGGGCGCTGGTGGGCGGCGTCTGCAGTGGGCACCCTGTCCCTCAGGCTCCCTGGGTGTGTGAGCTCAAGGGGCTCTTCTCCATGGGGGACACTCAGCCTCTGGGGCTGGGCGCCTGCCCCGCACACAGCCTGGGCTCCACGCCCGTCCTCAGGGCTCCCACTCCAGGGCAGACCTAGCTGGATGCTGGAGTCCTCCCAGCTGCCAGGGTTGGTCTCAGGCCCTGGTCCCTGGTTGGGGTCAGGAGGGGGATGTAGGCCCAGCCTGCCTTGGGGTCCCGAGTCTGGGCCGTCCTCCCCGGCCCCCTGCACCTGCTCACTGGGGCACGTCTGAGCAGAGCCGCAGACCCTCTGACATCCAGCCCCTGGCTGCCTGCAGGTGGACGTGGCTGGGGCGTACGACTCCATCCCGCATGACCGGCTCTTGGAGGTGATCACCCGCGTGCTCCAGCCCCCTGAGAACCCCTATTGCATCCGCTGCTACGCCGTGGTGCAGAGGGCTGCCCACGGGCACATCCGCACGTCCTTCAAGAGACACGTACGGCTGCGGGCGTGCACCCCGAATGCGCTGTGTGCCCGCGCGTGGGCATGTTCACGGAGGGTCTGAGACACAGGCTCATGGTGTCATGTGTCTGGTCTAGCCCCCGTGCTGTATACAGTGTCACGTGTGTGTGGAGCAGGGGTGCCTGGCCTGTGGTCTAGGCGTGTGCGTGTCCTGTGTGCATGTGTGTGACGTGTGCATGCCCACGGTCCAGGCCCATGTGTGGCGTGCACGTGTGTGGGGTTCCCTGCCTCAGGTCTGAGGAGGTGGAGGTCAGAGCCCCCCAGGGTGCTCTTGCATCTGAAGTGCGCCGCTTCACATTCATGGGCCTCGGCGCACCCCCATCGTGTGCAGGAGTCACCGCCACCCCCTCACCCACCCCGCCCAAGGCTGCTGCTGCCCCCAAGATGACCCCAGGTGTGATGGCCAAGGCCCAGGCCATGCTTGGCTGTGCGTGTCCATGAGAGCAGGCGGGTGGCCCTCGAGCCTGCTTGTCCTTGCTAGGGTTCGGCTGTGCCTGGGCCTCCACCCCACGTGGGCAGCGTCCATGCAGTGGGCTGACAGTGGTCTCCGCCGTGACTATGGGGGTGCCATGAACGCCGCTATGGTGCCTTCTCCAGGGGTCGCAGGGCGTTCATGGGGTTGCAGGTGTGCGGTGATGGCCTGGTGTCGTGCCGTTCTTGCCCTGACCCCGCGGAGCCTGTGGAGCCAGCGTCCTGCTGCTCCAGGGTGCCAGCCCTGCCCCGGCTGGCCAGCTCAAGCCGACGGTGGCCTCCTTGGTCCCAAGCATGGCCATCACACACACTTGGGGCGCCGTCACCTCCGTCGTCCTCCTCAGTCTCCCCGGTCTCTCAGGGCCGTTAGCGCAGGGGAGTGTCAGCTGTGCGGACCACACCGTGGTGCTGCAGACTGGCCCCGGGCGCTGCCGCCCCACTGCCCTGCAGAGCAGCACGTGCTGTTAGCGCCCTGACCCCGGAGGGCCTGCACGCACTCAGCACGCACTCATCTTTTTTTTTTTGGAGAGATTTTCCCTGTAGGGCGCGTGCGCTCGCCAGCCAGCCAGAGAGAGACATAGAGACAGAAAGCAAGAAATCACCCCCCGG